TGCGCAAAGAAACCCAGCGCTTTATAAGCCAGACCCCAGCGCAGTGTGGGAGCCACACTCTCTGTCACTGTGCACTCCCTTGATGCATCAAGCGCCCTCTCTCTCCCTTTTTCCTCTCACCCAGTTTTTAGTAAACCTCTTCTCTTTTGAATCTGTTTCACCTACTCTCTTGATTTCTATCCCAAGGGGTAGGGCAAGAACCCCTCTGCTGGTGACACTTACGGTGGGCCTCAGAATTAGAACAGGTTGAGGGATGGACAAGTTGCTTTCAATTACATTTTTCATTGACTCCTCGGAACACCCTATATGCTGCTATTATGGTTTCTGTCTTACTTATGAAGAAACGATGAAGTCACTGGCCCAAGGTTACATAGCCAGGAAGTAGCTGGGCAGGATTCCAGTTCAAGCCACCCTCCCTCCTCCAGTCCAGTCTGTCTTGGCCTGGCTGGGCTAACTGGGTGCGGTTGGGCTCAGAAGTCCATCAGATGGACTGTCGCAGTGGCCCTCTGGAGTCTGTCCCCTTCTCTCGGGCACACTGCCCCAGTCGGGGCCACTGGAGGAGTCTCCCATCAGGACTCTCCCCCTCCCCTCCCTCCCAATTGAGTTCACACTCACGCCTCACTTAGACAAAGAAACACAGTTGGCCATGTCCTTCCCCCATGTAAAACCCTTCCACTGCCCACAGGCCTGCTTCTCACACTGCCCAGTGACCTCATCTTACTACTGTGTGTGTTGGTGGGGAGGGGAGTATCAGTCTTCACAGAAAAGGTTTCACTGGCCTCAGATGAAGAGAAACTTGCAGCCTCGTCCAGCAGGCCCTGCCACACTGAGGTGCTTTCTCAACACCCGAGCACTCTTGTGCGTCAGCCAGAACTACCTTTAAGCCTTCTTACTTACAGCCAGTTGTGACTTACTCCCCCTGATTAGAATGTCTTTTTTAAAAAATATATATTTTATTGATTTTTTACAGAGAGGAAGGGAGAGAGATAGAGAGTTAGAAACATCGATGAGAGAGAAACATCGATCAGCTGCCTCCTGCACACTCCCCACTGGGGATGTGCCCGCAACCCAGGTACATGCCCTTGACCGGAATTGAACCTGGGACCTTTCAGTCCGCAGGCCGACGCTCTATCCACTGAGCCAAACCGATTTCGGCTAGAATGTCTTTTTATCTGACCTTTTCAGCCTGGGAAGCTCCTAGTTAAGGTCCAATTCATGTCCCCTCCTCCAAGAAGCCCTCCTTGATCTCACCAATTGCATCCTTGCAATGCTGCTCCCTCAGCATCTTGCTTTCCCCTATTCACAGCTTCTGACCTCAGGCTGCTCGGACTACCGTTTTGAGGGGCAGCCTCTTCAGGAGGTTATGAGCAATCAGAGGTCAGGGAGTTCACCATTAACTCTGCCTTCCCTTGTTCATTCAGCACACACTCAGAGCCCCTCTGTGGCAGGCATGGGTTCTGGATGCTGGAATGACTCAGGGTGTCTTCACAGGAGCTCCAATCTGAGGGAGAGACAAACCATCCATTCATTTGTTGATTAAACAAAAAGCAAAACCCTTTGCTAATCCTCCATCTGGACCAGGCTCTGTATTCAAGGTACAGAAAAGAGCACAGATTTTGCTCTTTGTTCCAGGGACTCCCAGTCTGGCCAGGGGCCAAGGGAAACCATTAAGTGCCTGATGTGTCCCCAGGGCTGGGCT